AAGTTAAAAATATTTTGCAATTATTTAAGTGTCAATAGGTGTAGATGCAGACTACAGAGGCGGAACTAGGAAGATAAAAATGGGGATTGATCCCCATCCCCGGCTTAATTTTTATATGGGCCTATGGTTAGTCTTTAGCGTTTGGTGTTAGAAGTTAGAACACTATTTTTACATCGTATAAAGGAAAGAAAAAAAAATGTATTAAATCAAATAATTACAGCATGAAATAATAATCATTATTCTTTTATTAATTACTACCTATTCCACGGAATCTAGGACGTTTCCTTCCCGTGCCTTTCCCCCCCAGGACAAAAAAAAAATATTAAACAACAATAATATACAATGCAAATAAATAAATAAATGTACAAATGATTAAATTAATGTATAAATATAATGAATATAATAAAATAATAATATAACAATATAATAAATATAATTGTATAAATGTATATATATATTTTTCTATTCTGGTAAGATAGCTCACTGAAATTAAAAAAAACATTATTTTTCATTGATGATAACGTTTTTATTACCTCAACTTCAGCTGGGCAGGCTCTATTATGGTTATTATGATCAGTTGCAGAAACAATAACTTTAATACTGTCATCGGTTGTAATACCTCCGGCTCCTTGACAACTATTTTCATTATTTTTAGATTTGTTTATACAATTCCAATTTATCCTCAATTTAACACATTTTTATTTAACACATATAAAATTTTGAAGCATAATTTTTTTACCATCTCTTTTTGTTTCAATTATTTCCATTATAAAATTCACAAGAACGAACTGTCTACGCTCAATATTACGAACTATACTAACTACTAACAGACATAAAAGCAAAAAATGTTGTTAATAGTTTAGATAATTTGAGGTAAGTTTATCAATCATTACCCATTAAATTGAGTAATAAATAAATACCTAACGTAAATGATGATAATCGATAGATGTCGATATGGCGATATGGCGATATGATACAATGATATTATATTATGATGATCGTATATTTCGGGTAAATCCAAAGAACCTATTTACAAACCTATTATTATGTGTAAAAAAAAGATATATTGAGTCGGGGGGGGAAACATCTCAGTCTGGGGGAGACGTCCAGTGCCGTTACGTCCAGGTACCATTCCACGTGGTGAAAATATAGTCCAAATTGCCACAGTAATAAATCATAAATGTAGTACCATTTACTTTGACCATGTCGTATGTCATTTGTGCTCTATAATAAATAAATTGTGATTGTGCCATATTCGTTATTTGGTTATCCAGGCATCAGTCAAAGTTTCAAAAACATTTAGATTATGCATAGATTCACATAGACATATTATGCATTTTAAGGTTCTAAACGAAAGCAGGCATGTATCATTGATATTTGATACTGTGTTTTCGTTAAAATTTTTGATCCACAATAACTTTACGACATATCAAATATTCAAATATCAATAAACATATAAATATATATTATATACACAGATAATTAGGTAGGTATTCAACTGTTTTTTTTCTTTTTAAGTACCTACCTACTACTATGTTAACAAAGAAGTTTAATAAGTGATAGTTTTACTTTAAAATAAAACCCCACACGGCAATTATAATTAGAATTTAAATGTTTAAAATTAAAACCTATAGTTGATACAAAATAGAAAATATTATTTTTTATGTTATAACCAAAATATTCACCAATGATTACTAAATATTTGAGTAAATACATTTAATTGTACTAATTAGTAATTATGTATATTATTAGAAAAAAATATTGTAGGAAGAGTATTTCAGTCGTTTTCGCCTATGATTCTTTTTTTATTATACTACAGAAGCGAGTAAGAACACATACAAAGAATAATGTTAACATGTTATCTATAAAATGACTTCTTTATACAATATTGAATTGTTTTTATAAAAAAAATTACCGTAGATACTTTTAATTTTCGCCGAAAATTTGCATTGTCTATACGCCTTACGGTTTAAAAAATATTTTGCCTTTTATAAAGTTCTTTATGGGCATAAGAAAATTTCGATTTTCGTTCATTTTTTTTTACTATCAACGATAAAAAATGTTTGAGTCTGTCAAGAAACTTGTAAGTCCATAATACATTTTTTATGAGTGTCTGAAGTTCAAATTTTGACAAAAAAAAATTGTAATTTGGTGCCAATGTACCCACTGAGCTGATTTTCTGCGGGCGCCCCTGCTACATGGTTACATACCTATCATAGTAGTTTTGATTTCAACGACTATTCACTATTGTAATAATTGTTATTACTATTCATTATTTACTATTGTATACAAAAAACGTTTCTGTGCAACTGTGAGAAGGTGTCAGAAAATTTAAACTTTGATTGCTTATCAAATAAACTGAAAATGAGGTACCTAGGTACTGTACACTCGTCTTAAAATATTTTCGATATTTTTAAATTGCTGTAAGAAGAACTTATGAGGAACATTGTAAGTATCACGTTTGTAAGTCTTATTTTAAAATAATACATTAAAACTAAAAAAAACCAAAAATGTAGAGTAGGGACCAATAAATAGCTTAAAATACTATCACCACCAAATCATGCTAGTGGTAATTCTATGGATATAGCTATATCAGAATCAAGTGGTCAAACTTTGACCAATTAGTTTCACTGGAAATGAAAATATTGGATACCAGATAGGGTTTTTTTTTTTTTGAGGTAAACAATCTATACCTTAGGGCTTAGGGGCACAATAAGTTTATATGGTTAGAGTAGGTAAATTACACATGATACGCTTGACGTGAGAAGTCATTCACTAATGACACTCAATATTGATTTTTTTTTTATATATAAAATTAGTTAAACAACTGAAGCTCTGATTTTGGATTAGTTGATGGGAGGGGTGTGAACAAGTAGATCACGACAACATTTTCGTTTTAAACGTCTGGGTGGGTTTCCAGGAGTAGAAAGGATTGAGTATCAGTTAGGGTAAATAAAAATTACAATAATAATTCAAACCAATGACAAAAATACAAAATAAAAAAATTTTATTTTTAGTCATGGATCAGTGCCCGTAGTGGCATGTAAGTCATACGTGTATAACCTATGATCTAAGAGTTGTTCAGGCAATACCTAAGGTTGGGTACTTAGGTAAATTTATAGAAGACTAATATTGAAGATATGAAGTGATTAAGGCATTAGAGGTAAGTCACAACTCACAAGGATGAATAAATTAAATACAATATTATAAAAGTAAGTTTATGGTTTAATAACTGGTAAGTTTTTTCAAAAGGATACGTTCTATTAAAACAAAAACCTAATTTCCTATGGGTTATAGGACTGGCGTAGCCGGTATCTATTATTTTACGGAAACACATTTTTTTATGGATATACCTACACGTTAGACGCCATCACTGTAATGTATTGGTCATTGGGTCATGCCGTAATGGGTAGGTATATAGAAATATATAGGTTAGGGGTCATTAGTTAAGTGTTTCTTACTCACTAATACAATTTAGGTGTCGTAGAAAGAAATCGGATGGTTATTTTACTGAAACATATCTTATATTAAAAAATAACATGTTGTGTATTTAGGTCACTTAGTTGTAAATTGCAATATTATAATTCAGAAAAATCTATTAATATAGCATTAATACTTAATTATATAATCGTCTTTTTCTTATTAATATACCTAAATCATTAGTCATTACTCATTAGTCATTAGCTACATTTAGTCTGATTAAAACCATATTGAACGATTTTATAGTTTTATAATATTATAAATGTATAACTTATACTAAATGTTAACGATGCTGAAACAAAAATCAAATAAGTAATAGTAGTATTTATATTGCAATTTATAAATAGCGAATTGCTGTTATAGGATTGGAATGATGTCAACTGTGGTCTGTGACAGTACTTTTAACAAATGGTAACGAAGTGACAACCAACGACAAAATATCAATGGATCGTATTTACTTGCAAATAATTAATATGCGATATAGCTAACAACACTTACTTGAACATAATGTATAATTTTAATTACCTATATAGCTATATAATATTTAAAAATAAATCGATATCCACTAAAAAGTAAAACAAACATTTCGTTTAGGTTTATTGGTGTTTAAGCATTTATGATAAAATGAAATGACCTTATTACATAACTTCATATTATAAGTGCATACGAAAAAAACTCAGTTATATCAGTCCTAAATACTCCTAATACCTATGAAACAAATATAGATTTATAAACTATATCTGTAGACTGTAGTCGTACCCGTGCTATGTTATGTAAAAATATAAGTATCGATAAGACATTTTACCAACTGTTCCAGCCTCTAAGATTATGGATGGATTTTAGATTTTCTCAGATTGGCGACCTTTCACAATTTTACTTAAATTATATACGTATTGAATTAATTAAAGTAATAAGTATTATTACTATTAATATAGTTTCATCATGCAATATATTTTTTATAGGTATTTTTATATTTTATTAAAAATCAACAAAATAAAAAGTTTGACGATTTTTTTATAAACACCTAGGTATAAAAACTTAGATTTTTAAATAAAATTGCTACATATGAAACACAAATGTTAAATACTACCTACTAACAGTAAACGGAATTTACTAAGAATCAGTGGCATACAGGGTGAGGTTTTAGTAGGGGTTTATTTAACCCCCCCCCCCTCCACAACAAAAAAGAAAATGTACCTATAAGTTTGATAATGGGTCAATTCATTTTAATGTTAAAGCTAACAATACAATATTGGTTATGCCCAAGTTGTATTTTTTATTTGAGAGAGACAGCATAGCAAATTTGTGTAGTAAGCTTTAATAATAGAATGAGTTGACCTATAATCAAACTTTAAGGTAAAAACATTATGTGCTATCTTATGGGTATTTTTACAATATTTAAATTTTAAGCTTGTTATGAACATTTTTAAATTTTAGTTTTTTACGCACCCATAACATGATTAAAAATTAATATATCATAAAAAAATCTATGTGAAAGAAGCATAGACAGTGTTCATATATTTAAGTTTAATAATAGATTGATTTATTTTTATTATTAAAGGTTGTTATTTCACAAAAATTGGTATGTGGTAAGTTCCTAAGATTAAGCAACACATGTGGGTGTAGTATCGTCTTAAGTATATAAAAAATAAATATTTTAATAACCTTATTATTAAAAATTAAAAAAAAATACACCAAACAATTTGTTTAAAAGGTATATCTACTTAAACTCCACAATAGAATAATAAAGAATCATTACAAAATAATGTGTTCACTGTTCAATACTAAAAAATTAAACATAGAAGACAATTTATTCATCTATAACCACATCAGAAATTTAGCAATATCTTATAAAATTATGAAGTAAAAATTAAATCACTTAAACAAATTATTGGATAACAAATTTAGTATTGTTTGTATAAATTAAATAGACAGTTTAATAATAGTAATAAAGACAAAAAAAAAAATCACTTAATTAAAATAATTTAACTGTATTCTATTTAAATGTTATAAAGATGATAGTAATTAGTAACCACATAAACTTGATGAGTGTTTTAATCTGGTTTAAATTGTTGAACTGATAAGAATACATAATTATGTTATCTAAAAAAATAAAACAAAACATAAAATATTATTTCATTAAAATAATAAATATAATATTGTAACTATTATACAATCTAGTCTTGAATTATATAATGGTAAAAACATTTTTGTAGTGATAACATTTAGGTATAATAATTAATTATGACTTATATTAGTGGTTCTCAATTGTTTTTAATCAAGTGAAAAAAAGTTGGTCATTAATAATATAAGTCCAAACACGTCATCTTCATGAGGCATTATTCTAATAAGTAATGAATAATCATACATTTTTGGTTAAAATTGTTATATATTACCAACATTTTTTTATTAGAAACCTAATTATTAAAAAAGACAGCTATTTTAATATTACAAGAAGTCAACCAGTGTGTTCCATGGGCAATATATTATAAACATTGAGCAATAATATTATAATAAACGGCATATTAATAGTTTATTCTAGTAGCTTTAAAAAAAATAATGTCATATTATAAACCAACTTTTTGTTTGTACCTATATGTAATTAAGTATTTTAATGTATATCCAAGATTTTGGATTATGGGAAGCATTTTTTTCATTCTGATAACACATTCTACCAAAATCACAAAATATTTTTTAGTCGAACATGTATTTAATTTTCAATTTTAATACCTAGGATTTGAAAATTAAATACCAGCTTACACTTAATTGTTCTTACAATAGTTTAAGATTATTTAATAACACATGGACAGAATTGTTTTTAAAGGCACATTAAGTTCAAATTTTGTTGAAATGAGATACTATTTAAATGATAAATAACAAATTATTACCTACACCATTTTAGTTATTTTATGGTAATTCTATTGAAGTGTTAATGTGTTATAACAGTTTAAATGATTTTCGATTAAAATTTTCATTTATATTATTGACAATTTGAAGTCTAATGTTGTAGAAAATATCATTTTTAACCAAATAGGTAAGTATTCTTATAAGAAATTAATTAAACCAAAATTTACTTACCACATTATATTGATCATAATAAACTTGGTGAACTCTCAAGTAGGAATACGTTTAACTGTAAAACAATTTAAAAAATAAGAAAAATATTTATAGAAACTAAATGGTTAAAAATGTATTTATCTTAAATCTATAACTCAGATATTTGAATAACTGTTAGCATCTTAAGATAACATTTGATGCTTACTGAACATAAAGAGATCCAGTTTTGTAGTTAGATTGTTTCAGAGCATCTTTTAATTTTTCTTTTTGATGTAATAAGACACCAGATGAACTTGAAGTATTAGTACCGTACATACTATTGAGTACATAATTAAATCCTTTTACTGCTTTAGCACTGTTAACTTTAAATCGTTGCATTCCAAATGCTTGAATTGCTTTAGACATTCCATATACATTTGATTCAATCCATACTGATCGCTCTGCAACTGTAGTACTTGGATTTTCTTCATTTACTTTATAGACAACTTTTTCTGTCACACCCTAAAAAATAAAGATGATAAAAATTAATGATAAATTAATATTTTTTACTTTTTTAAGCTTAAAAGCATAAAATTTAAATTAATTTTATACATTTTAGATATTTGAAAAATAGATTATGGAATAAACATATCATGAATTATTTATTTATAATTAATTTAGAAATGTATTATAGTGCTGAATTAATACTAAAATTTAAAGATTTTAATTAATATGATATATAACATTATTATTAAAAAGTTAATAGAAGTTAAACTACAAATAACCTTGAACAAACACAATTATTAATTCATTAGCAAAAAATTTTATAATTATGTATAAAGTATAAATTGAATGTGTTTTAATGAAATGGTTCAAGGTTTTTATAAAATAGATATTATAAAAAATCAGACACATACCATAACACTCGCATATCCAACGTTCCTTGTATATGTCACCAATGTCTTATTTGAAGGATCTAAAATTGATTCTTCAACAATTTTTACATCTTTACTATGTATAAAACGTTCACCCCATTTTGGCAACTTGTTAGTTTTTGTAAATAACCTAATAGAATGTAATTTTTTTTCTATCACCTCTCTATGTAACACATCTTCAGATAATACATGCTTGCTGAAAACATAAATTTATTATTTGATATATTTTATAAAGGCGATAATACATTTTATATTAAACTGAAATGTTACCTTTCTGGGTTTGGATAACGATGCCAAAAACCATGAACTACTTGATCCCATCTGAATGGGAATAAACTTTTATTTTCAAAAAATTTTACCATTATTATTGTATATATGGCAAATAGTGCAAATTTATATTTTATAACAAATTAATTTCAAACACTCTGCTGTATAGTTATATTGTCAATATCCTACATGTATTTAACCACACAAGTTGTTTCCAGTGTCATTTCAATATTTCAATAAAATATGTACTATGTACCTACTATAAGAGATTGCAACTATACAGTATGTAGGCCGTAGGGCATGGGCACAGCATACTATTATAATATTTTAGTGTTTAGTATTTACCTTTTACAAGGAGATAACAAAGTATGATAACAAGACGGTAATATTGATAACAAAATTGTAGAACCAAGGTGAAATGATCAATGTAGAATTGAATAATAAAATAATTAATGAACAACCTAGGTATATACAAATATGATTTATTGATATTTCATAATGAATACCAAAACATGGTACACTTTATCACTCATATCTTTAAATTCTTTTTGCGGGACAATAAACTAGACTATTGGATCATAAATTCTTCAGACTTAAAATTTTTTTAACTCTTATATTTTGCGCATGCGCAACAAAATTTCATATTTTTTAAATGGCAAACCGTGTTTTAAATATCATTTTCGGATTGATCTATTTTTTTCAAGAAATTTTGATGGATCAACTTGTGTTGTATAATAACTAAATATAATTTTTATTACATTTAAATACATTTTTTTTTTCACTTGTAAGTATTATTTTATTCTAACACCGTGATGCAATTAACATTTGGTATTATTATTAAAGTAATAAATTATTTACTATTTGTCTATTTATGAATTATTATTTAATTTTATTGTTACACTCCACGAAATAACATACTTTAAACATGTATTTTCAGGAAACAAAGTTCTAAATTTCTTTACATTTTTTTTAACAATAATAATATGATAGATTATTATTTACAATTTAATTTACAGAAATTACGAACATAGGCGCGTTCAATAAATTGTTCGAAAGTCCCTCCCAGGCGCGTACACAAAAAAATATTTTGTGGGGGATTTTGGTTGTACATTTTCGTACTTATGTAATTTAATCTAACCTATAACCTAACAGGAAGTGTAAACAATTTCAATTATAGTACTATTTATTCCTCATAAAAAACGTCATTATTAAAAAAATTTTAATTATTTTAAAAAACATGTATTTTTATAATATAAAATCTAATTTTCGAGGTAGTCTTGCAAATCTGTTAATGACTTCGTCAATATCAATGTAATGTCTCAATTGACGATTGTAGATACTGATCGAGCACTAAACGAGAATGTACATAATTCATATTACGATGGCAATGCAGGAAATTAAATAAAAGCAAACTAAAAAATAATAACCCACATTTCCTGAAATGTGTGTGTTTATGTGTGTGTGTGTGTGTGGGGGGGGGGGGGGTTGAACCCTATAACCCCCCTTGTATACGCGCCTGGTTCCTCCGTTGTGTAGAATCGTAAGTAGTCAAATCGAAATTTAAATCAGAATTATAATTAGGTTTCTATTAAAATAATAATGAGCATTGATCTTTCTATTTTTGTTATCTACCAAACCTACTAAAATACCATTAGGTACGAGGTACCTTCTTTTTTCGTATTAGGTACCTATACTACCTATAGGTTACCCATTATTAAGATTTAAGAGACTCATTGTTAGAGTCATTAATGGGGCATTGCAGTCTGGGTAGTTCAAACTTTTCTGTTCGCTATTGTCAATGTGTAGTATAAAGTCGTAGTTTAAATTTTGTTAGATTAAAAATGTAAGCACGAATAATCATGAAAAAGTTCAGTTACTGGAAAATGCAACAGACACGTCAGAAACACACGAGAAGCAACAAGAATATACGCCCACAGCAATATCCAGATCGGTATCACTCCATTGTACTTATGTTCAAAAACTTGAAGTGTTTGATAACAAATGGTTCATTTAATAGAACAAATGCTGCTCAACAATAATCTCAAGTAAATCAATATTTTAATGAGGTTATTGAAAATCAAGTTTAAGCATATTATGTACATCTTATATTCGTCTATTAAACACGTTGGAATCGTTGGACATGAAATCGGCGTGCCATATAACTTAAGTTCACAGAATTAAAAAAAAACTCAGACTTACATATACATATTTACACATAACAGACCCAGAAAAAATATGTTTTGCAATTACTCCTGGATGATCACACACCTGCCCAGAATTCCCGAATCGTCCAAGAACTTTTGAGAGTTAAGGTTTGGCGCAAAATTGATTGCAACACAATAACACATGGAACTGTAGTTGCATCCAAGGTCACCTGATTTCACACCGTTAGACTTTTTTGTGGGGACACTTGAAAAATATTTAGAACGCAAATCCTCTAACCATCATTCAAGATATAAAGAATAAAATTACACACAAGGGTAACCTCTTAAATGAAAATCAAATACTGCTAGCAATTACTCGTGAATGTTTACTTCGATTTGAGGCATGCGATCTACACAAAGAAAGGATTCAAACAATTTATTGAATAGTTTATTTTTGGAATTTCTGTAAGCTATTATAAATACAAATCCATAGTATTGTTAAAAAAAAATAAAAAATAAAATTAGAATTTTGTTTCCTGAAAATACATGTTTAAATTATATTATTTCATAATGTGTGACAATAAAATGAAATAATAATTCATAAATATGTAGTAAATAATAATAATTTTGATTGAATCATGGTGTTTAGAAGGAAATAATTCGTAAAATTAAAAAAATATATATTCAAATTTAATACGATTTTTTTTTAAATTATACCTATACCTCTAATTTAGCTAATTTTGCACAAGTAGTCCATGTGCAAAATATAAGAGTTAAAAAAATTAAGTCTTAGGAATTTATGATCCAGTTTAATGTCCCGCAAACAGAATTGAAAGATATTTACAGGGTAATGAGTGATAAAATGTATCCTTTTTGGGATACGTAGTTTACTAATTCAATAGTTTTAAAATCGTTACTCGTTAGTAGACAGTGGTTAAGAATTTTGTATTTGAATCTTATACCATTGATTATAAATTTATAAATAATTAAGTGTTCAGTTTGTAGAAAGTTGTTTATTGTAGTTTGTTCCCAAAAAACACCCTCTATATTTGGAGGACAACTAGGAAAGATTTCACTATAACTAGGTTACTATAGGTTCATGGTTATAAAATAGATACATAAAGCTTAAAATTAATTTAAATATTTTGGAAATGACATTGCATAAAATTGGATTGAAAAGTAGAATTTTAATTACAAAAAAATAATTAACGATGCTATTCTTGGTTTAAAAATCAAATTAAGCCTAAAATGAACTAAAAATATGGGGTCGACTTGAAGGTGGTTCAAGCTGTGCAGTGATACAAGGCTCCGCACAGCGCACATTTAAAGGGCCCGCAAAAATATATTATCAGGTATTCGGATTCATACTCTATAATATTATTATGTTTTCTTCTAACGATGCATGGATAGGCAGATTCATCTTATTGTCCTCCGTAACTCTTTGAGGCTCCGAAGTAATACAAACACCCACTAATAGCCTTCAAAAAACAATTTCGGGCTCATAGAGCTCTGGTATTTACCAAACCTGCTCTATGAAGAATATGTATAAAAAAACTGAGTTAGCATATCAGTATTTAGATTTTTTGGTCTTAAAAATGTAATCCTTAGCTATAAAAATGTAACCTAGAGTATATTTTTAATGTTTTGTACAGGTATAAGGAAAACCTATGGTAGGATCTTGAATCCAATTTTCAGGCTATTTTACCTAGCAAAAAATGTTTATTGACAATATTACTATGATTATTAAATAAACTAAAAAAAATTTTAATTTAAAATTGAAAATAGTACAATAAATATTTGTTGAAAATTTAAAGGGTCTATGGTCATTTGTTTTTGAGTTAGGTACACACCAAACAATTTTAATCAATTTTGTCAAAAACACTGGTTTTGGATAAAAATTCCCGTTGTTTTTTAATTTTTCTCCATACTTCTAGGAATATTTTTCCTGGCTAGATTCACTTTTCAATCAAGAAAATGGTGAAGTTCAAAATTGAGACGCAATTCTACTGCCCACGTAGGTGAATAGGCGATGACACAAAAATAAAAACGCACATCACACATCATTGTATAATCATACCATCTCACCACTCAAAATCAAAAATCAAAAATAATTTTTCAGAAAACTATTAATTAATACGTATATAGTTTTTTTTTTTTAAGGAAGGACACATTCGTATCAGCTGATCCCAATATCCAAACAATCAATCCAGAAAATGCGTATCAATAAAAAAAAAATAGGAATGAAAAATCCCCCTTTGCCCATATTCCCCAACCACAAATGGCGATAATGGTTTACCAAATTTGTACAATCTGACCTCCAGATAGTAATAATGTTTATATAGGTACCTAGGTAATGATTTTTCATGATATCTGCAATTTAGTACCTACTATGGTAATTTTTATTTTTAAATAGGTCATATTATATGACTCATATACGACAAAATAACGTTACATTCAAAACACGTTTGCAGTACCTACTTAGACTTTATGATATAGGTAAAATTATCTATAGGTAGTAGGCACTTTTGGTTACAATAAATCACTAGTTAGAAACTTTTATAAGTACAATTAAAATGTATACCTATGTTATATTCAAGAAACGTATACAAATGAATAACACAAAAGAGGGTTACCATATCTATAAAATATATGAAGCATTTACATACAATAAAAAGTACTTACTATATGTGTAACTGGTAAAAGCAATTGTAGTTTAGGTACTGTTTCTACCTCAAAACAATTATTACGATTGGAGCATTATTATTAAAATTTAAGAACCATGTTTTACTTAATACTATTGATATTCCTTCCTCACGGCGAAATGGTATTTTAAATAAGAAATTATAAATATTTCAATAAGAGTAATAAACATATATTTTTGTTTAGAAAAGTTTTAAAAAATATCAAGTAACGGAAGACATGACCGAAGAACGAATCGACGAAGACATTAAGTGGATGTTGTTACCAAACGGAAGAGGCGACCCACAATTGGCTATAATATCGGGTTTGGAAAAAAATAGTGAAGCAGAACCATTGGTGGAAAATATAAAATTTCATTTATATACAAGGTACTTACCTAATTTAAATATATATAAATGTATCAATTATTGTTTTAAATTCTGAGGGAAACGATACATTTATTGATTTTACAATTTTTTTTTTGTGAAAGTATATTTTGTCATAACTCATCAC